CGCTGAAGGCGCATCAGACTGAAGCTCTGCAGTGGCAGCAGGCAGGTACGCGAGCGTTGTCCGGGGGGCGTCCTGAAGGGACAGACAAGCCACGTAGCGAGCAGGCAACGCCCTACAGCCAGCTCACCACAGAAAGTAAGAACAGCCAACAAGGGTCCACATCCAGAGAAACACTTGTTCCACCGAAGCCCTACACCTGGACAGACAGCAGGACGACTGGGAGCAGCAGCGGCGACCCTGCAGAAAAAGAAAGGAAACATTAAAGCATGCGTCGAACAGACACACTGAAGAGAAGCATCACTCCTAGAGTCAGAAACATGTCTCAGCTAATACGTTCTTTTATAGCTTAGAGAGCCAGAAAACTGCCTCAAGATTACAGGTTGGCAAATGATGTTTGTTGGACAAGTGTTCAACATCACAATATCAATGCATCACCAAGATTTAAAGATGACGACTTAAGGAGCAGTTTCATGTAACTTAGTTTAACGATACCCATGATTGAAGCCTGTGAAGCTGAAGCCACCCCGTCATAATTTGTTTAGGATAAACTCATTGGCTGAACTTAGCGTGACGCTGGCTTCAGTTCTCATGCAGCCAGTCAGTTAACGCAAATCAATTGGAGTGACTTCCAGCTACAATGGCATCAGGAAGACTAGAAATCAAGTTCAAGAAACATTCAACAACAAACAGAATATTGAAAGTGAACTATGCGTAGCAGGAATGGTCACGTACCAAGCATGCCATACTAATGAACTTATTTCCAAGAGAAGACATGAAATTGGAGAACTAATCAAGAAGTACTTTGAAGGTGGGGTGCGCTGCGTATAGTTACACAACACCAAAAATACATGTCATCGGATAAATGGGCCAGAGAGCGCTGCATGAGATCAAGGCAGCAACTGTAGCCTTGCCACAAAGTAGAGAAAACACAAGACAATACACAGCAATAGCTTACCGGGTCTCCTACTGTTCCCAGTGCTACTGAACTGCTACTCCACCGGTAACGCTCAGCGGCCCCAAAGGCTTGTCCTCCTGGAAAGAGGATAATAAACGATCAACTTAGTTCACCCATTCAGACGAGCGCGACTGTGCGCACCTCCCGATCTTGGATGAGAACCGAACGTGGTTTTGAGTTGCAAGTTAGCCACATTGTACTACAAACCGGCCAAATTAAGTTCAAATCCGAGATGGGGAATGATGCGCAAGCCCTGCTCAAATTAACATGCCCAAACTGTCTAGGAACATCCTAACGGACAGACGAATACACCATGTGGAGTGGTGAGGTTAGTCACAGACCGGCTGACCGGCACAAAGTTTTCGTTGAAAGACAAACACATCAGCAGGATATCGAGAATACTTACTTAGCTCATCGGAATGAAGCTGAAGCACTCCTGCCATAGCGACGTTCACAATGTGACATGTTGACACAGTAGCACAAATTGAATGAGACAACAACTGTCATTCATTGCGATTCATTGCATCGTGCCTCCTTGGACGGTGCCTCTTTAACCCTTTCGTCTTCTTTCCAATTTCTTCTTGCTTCTCCCCAACACTACAATATTGCCAACCTCAACAAAACAAAGTTACTTGCAACAAAGCAGACGGATGTCTTGTTCAGTCAGTTCTGTCAGTGGTTTGAACTATCGGTGCAGTCTTTTGCCTCCAAAGACTGTAACTGAAAGTGTAAATGTGATTTTTTTGTCGAGTGGTTCGGGGCGTTCTCCGAACACCGGCCGTGCGGCCGTGCAGTATTTTTCCTTCCTGCTAGGTCTTGTCCCGCCGTTCATTTAAATCGGCATCCTGCATCCCTGCGCCTTGTAAAGCGGTTTACATATATTATTTTGGCCTTGCAATGATTTTACATTGGTCAAACAAATTTATTTGAGTTCTCGGCTCGTCACATTGCCGTCCGCCGGGTCTCAGAGTTAAAAGTTAAAGTTCAATTCAAATTTCAACTTAGCTCAGCCAATAATCATTTTTATTCAACTTCTGTATGAAAAACATAGACTTCCAAGAACTTTGCGGTAATTTTAAATTTGTACTGTACTTTGGTTCTACTGGGCAATTTTTTTTGTTATTTTTCTTTTTTTCTTTTGAGGATTATTTTAAAGATATGGTAAATAATAAGGATGCTGATTTTAAAGATTTATTGAAATGCGCACTAACAAAAGAAATGTAACATAATTTATCTAATTCTATGCTTTTCCTTCAGCTCCTTTTGCTTAGCAAATTGCGAAGGGCCACCAAGTTCTTCAAGTTCCTGTTGCAAGGCATTCATTTCTCGGTCTGGGATGTATCTTGACTTTATTTCTTCCTCTGTATTCTCAACAATCGAGCACGTAACACCAGTAGGGATAGCAGCTTGAATTACTTCTATAACTGTGCCAAGTTTAGAGGCAGGAAGATCAGAGACCTACAAAGGAAAAAGATTATAATTTTGTAACACATCTTAATTACACTGTAATACTGACTCCTGAAAATTACCAACCTGAATCACTCTTTCATATTCTTTTAAATTGAATTCCGTCATTGCCTTTGATGTATTTGGCTCAAATCTTTGAATTTTGAATGATTCAGCTCTCCGTGCAAACCTGAAAACAAGAAAGGTCAATAAAGATAAGGTAAAGAAAGCTGTTGGGTTTCAAGTAAAATTCAACAGGAACTTACGAATCAGCAACAGTTACTCCCATATGAATAAAATATTTATGGAGAATTTGTTGAAGTCTCTCAAGTACAGCATAGTCATACCCCTTAAGCTTGAAATTAAGTATATCATGTTTAGGAATCTTAGGTTTCAGAATCTGTAATTGAACAAGTAAGATAATAACAGCACATGTGTCAGAGTATAAACATTAGGCAAATATATGTTGTTGACCACAATCCATTCACTAAAAATACGTACATCAAGGTAGTCAGGTTCATAAAGTGATTGCCTTCCAGGACGCTGAATTTTAGGAACAAAATCTACGACAGGCTCTTCTGGTGGTGGTGCTTCTGTAGAGTAAGCTGGACTAGGATTAGTTGTAGGGTAGTATAAAATTCTCTGTAACATTTGAATGAGAATAACATTTGGTAATAAAATACAGAGGTTATAAAGTGGGTACCACAAAGAGTTGAAGATCATATCAGCCGCTCACTTACCAATGATGGCAAACATTTCAGACGCGGATTTAAAGAACATATAGACTTCATAACGCTCATGACAATATATTCTCTTTACGCCAAAGCGTAGTTGACAATAACCTAAATAAATGTATCTAGTTTTTTAGTTTGTAGTTTTTTTCTTTCTTGACCTCGAATTTTCTCATCAAGCACAAGCACAGCACAGATCCACCGATCCTCCCTGGAAACCCCTGGCATCACTCAACCACCACCATTGTTTGATCGTCACGGCCCAAACCGGTTTATTCGCGAGCCCAACGATTTCCTAGTTTATTCTGACATTCCCTACTTTAGAACAGCAGTTGTACGTTTATTTTCCCCCATCATGGGTATGGATCTTATTGGTTTCGCATATGCTGCTGCTGTTGCCGCTGGAGGCATCGCTGGTTACGCCAAAGCAGGTTAGTGTCGCCATCTGTATGCCTACGTTATGGAATTTCCTAGTTTTCTTCGAGGGCAAGTATTTTCCCGGATAAGTGATAGTTTGCAACACTTTGTAATTCTTATTCTGAACGAGTATTTCGTGGGCAATTTTTATTAACTTAGTGTTAGCCACCAGCTCAGTTGGTGCCAACTATGATGACTGTCCAATGTTTTCTCCAGTCATCACTGCCAAAGGAATAGTGTATCTGGATTTCTTTAATTTTTACTAATTTGTGATTGCACATGGAGATCATATCCAGTTTGGTGAAGTTTTCAATGGATGAGGAAGGACATTTGTTGATAATCACACCACACCTCACCTAAAGATTGGTCTAGTTATTATTTTATACCATGGTTCTAAAGCCAAAGTTTTCTAGTAACTGCCAATAATCACCTTTAAATTGATTTTGAAAATTACGTCTTCATCTTAATTATCAGTGAGATCATATTTTGGGAAATAAAGTAAAGCCTTACTGAAGACAAGTGTTATAGAGCCCTGTAACAGATAGAAGGTAAGATAGCTAGCATTTTTTAAACAAGTGTTCTTTTCTAAAAATATGTCTGTTGTTAATTGATTCGTTTTTATGTTTAGGGAGTATTCCATCATTGGGAGCTGGCCTCTTGTTTGGTGGCGTTCTCTCTTATGGTGCTTTTCAAGCCAGCCAATCTCCAAGCAGTCATGCTGTGATGCTTGGAACCAGCGCGCTCCTCACAGGCATGATGGGCATGCGCTTCTACAACTCTGGGAAGTTCATGCCAGCAGGTTTCGTTACTATCCTGAGGTATGTTTTCAGTCCCCCTTTTCCGTTTTCTCATGTCAGTTAATTCACCAAAGCTCTGTCCTTATTTCTTTTTCTCTTTTCAGTGCCGCAATGTTACTTCGGTACTCTGCCCGAACATTAGGTCTTATGGAGAGTAACCCACCCCGCCCTTCAATTCAGTAATGTGGTTTATTGCTTCGAGCGCACGCTCAGGAATGCATGTGTAGACTTAGGAGTCTTTATTTTTTTCTTACTTGCTATTGTAATTGGTATTTGTTTTGAAGTGACTATGATAAAGTTTTTAAATTGTTAAGTGTAATAATTTTTCCTCTTTCTTCTCCCTGTTGATTATTTTTTTTCTAAGTGGGGATTTTTAATGCAGTACTGTATACTGTTTTCAATCTTAAGTCCACCAAAATGGTCTCTATACCACAATGATTTTGTAGAAATAATGTATGCCAAAGATCAGAGGCAATCGTGACATGGCTCTTGGATATCACAACATTTCATTTATTCCAATCAACATCTTACTGACATATGTTACAAACATTCTTAGAATACACTAACAATTGCAACTAGTTTGAATTTGTAATCTTCTCTCTTTTTTAAAACTAAAATTTTATCACTTATGAGTTGTGATTGGAACACACATGAATCATATTTATTTACAGTGTTATTCATAGGTGACCCTCATTTACATTTCATATGCAAATAATGGATGAAAGTTTTTATGGAATCTATCAAAACTTCATCTAATTGTTCACTAAATCAGTTTCTTGGCACAGTTTATTGTTCCATACTGTATCAGGCTTTTTCAGGATGACTAAAGTAGACTCAAATGTCTGAATAACAGTGAGGAGAGATTACAATTTCTTGTAGGTACATAATGGCTTCATGCTTAATACAGATCACATACTACCAAAGTTTGAAAGGTTTATATAAATACCTTATCTACACAGTATAAAGTAACACTAAGTTTCTTTAAAAATCTGCCAAATTGTACTCTCCTTTGTTTTAAATACTACTTTGCTCTAAAAAAATTATGGAGGAATGTATGGAGGGAACAGGAACACTCATCATTGGTTTTTCCAACAGGCATACAAGAAACTTGTATGTCAGGTGGAAAAATATTCATTTGTCAAGGATATGAAGATGTCTCCTTGACAGGGACAGGTTTAATCTTGATTTGATTTGGATTCGTTGAATAATAATAATAAATAAATGTTCTCTGAATGTAGACCAGTACTCATGTGCACAGTCTATTTTCAAAAGGGTTAGTGAATTTTGATGGAAGCCTATATTCAGTTAGCACCTTTGAAGCTTAGCAGTACATCTGGAAAATGATAATCTATTTACAAAAGTACTCTGGTTTGTCCCCAAGTAGTGACCTCTAAGGCTCTGCCAACTGTTTATGGTTTTGTTAGTTGGAATGGAATGTGGTTTTGTTAATGATGCTGGTGTCATCTCTTACATATATTTATATACAAATGTACAAAGTTTCTGGTAACAAAAGTGCATCTCTGTCCTCTGAGTCAGAGAAATTTTTCAATACTTTTTCATCACATTTCTTGGATTACTTATATGGAGGAACACAATGATGCTTCATTTGTGTAATATCGTAATTCATTACATCATTTTCATCTAATGGTTTTACTCAGATATTTTGAACCCTGTACTATCACATATTTTAAGTTTATGGACAATTTTCAGCAACTGATTTTATGTATTAATCTATCAGAATTACTGTTCCTAGATCCAATGGGATTTGATTGATTAACAATTTATGTAACTGCACAGCAGTTTTCACAATCAAGCTATATAAAATGGTAAAATTACCATGAAATTTTTTACAAGTTGTAGCTCAAACTCGTAGTTTGACTTACTTCTGTCAAAGCTTCAAAGCAATAAGAATGAAGTCTTTTTGTATCATATTTCGTTTCTTATGCTTAAACCTAAATTTTAACACTTGTTTTTGACAACTTATTTACACACAATAGACACTCAAGCTTAGGCGATGCCTTCAGTGATCATGAGGCATAGTTTGTGTGTGCTATTTTCCCCCCTCAAAATACAACAACATAAAAACATTGCTTCCAAACCAGACGAGTGTGAGACAACGGAAAGTCTTAGGCTCATACCAATTACCATAGCTAGGCCACAGCTATAATTGGCATTATTGGTTGCTGTAAAATTTGAGTGGCAGTGTATTCAGGAATTTGTCTAGAGTGCCCTACTCTGATCACAGTTCGGGAATTACCACCTGGCAAGCAGATGAGCATTTTTGTTTTCATTTTCCATTCTCAGGGAAACTAACAGGCAGTCACCTTGAAGTTGGGCATACTTCTCGTTGGGAGGCACAGCAACTCTTGCGCATTGATTGATAATTACAGTATTGAAAACCGTAGCGCTCCAAGAACTCCCGGCATGTTAGACCGCCACTTATTGAGCGAGCTACATCAACACACTCTTCAGTGTCTGCCACTGTAAAAAAAACAACATAAAATGTAAGTGTAATGGCTTAAGTTTTGACTATTTACTGCTGTTAAATATAATTTTTTACCATAAAAATCAAAATGCAGATCCCATGCTTTATCTAAATACTTATACAAGGTTTACCTGAACCAGTGCCATGCATGCTAACATGTTAAGGCCATCACCAAAATAAAATTTATGACAAGCCTCATGCAATTGCAAGATTTCTTTTCTAAAATACAATCTTAGACTTAAGTCCAAACTTTTTGATGTCTGTTGTCTGTTAAGGATGGTATAGGAGTTTTAGGTCTAAGAGCGGTCTTTTGAAATGAATCAAAAGTAAAAGATTACAGCCTGTAGAAATGCAGTTTCAAATGGGGAAGTCAAGGTAGAGTGTGTGAGATCTCTGAGAAGGTATTGAAATTGATGTGTAAAGTACCCCTCTTGTATTACATAACAAGCAGAGAAAGATGAAAGATCCGTTTTTAATGCATTAGTTTAGAGTTAAGTTAATTAAATTGAGAAGGTTTTTTCACTTATATCTGAAATATATTATGAAAGAAAGAAAGCAATAGATAAGCATCTGCAAATTGAGCTTACATACATCTGAAGAGGACCTTGTATTTATTGCTTTTAATCTCTGCAACTTACCAGTTTTTGTACTGCTGTCTAGGTATAGTGGTGCAGATGGAGATTGAGGATTGAGGGAATTTGGATTGGAGGATTCTGGAGATTGGCTTCCAGCAGGAACGTGGTTTTCATAGTTGCTCGTGCCACTTGATTGGTAGTATGGTCTAGTAGTTGTCGAAGTCTTGTAATAAAGTTCATATGCTGCATATGGATTTTCAGTTGTGGATTGTGTTTGGTGAGAGTCATGGTTATCAGTTGTTGAAGTATAGTAATTATTTCCCCGTGCCTCATAATTTTGTCTTGCTTGTCCAAAAACACTGAAATCATATGGGTTTCTTGTTGTATGCGGATCAGGAGTACTTGAAGTCCTGTAGTACTCTTCATATGTGTTTGATTTTACAGTTGATGTACGATAGTATTCAGCATAAGAATTTGGCCCCTCAGTTGAGGAAGTTCTATAGTAATCCTCAAATATATTTTGTGAAGGTGGAGTTGTCCTATAATAGTCGTATAAGTTCTGTTTAGTAGTTGACGTCTTATAATATTCATCATAGAGATTATTTTTAGAAGTAGATGTTCTGTAGTACTCATCATATGCATTCTGTTTTATTGTTGATGATTTGTAATAATCCTCATACAAATTTGGTTTTATTGTGGTATCTTGTTCATTGCCCACAGATTTTATTTGAGGAGATGGCGAATCAGATGCAGTTGATTTTCCAAAGTCACTAAAGTCATATGGACTTTTAGTTGTTCTAAAGGTGTGGAAGTAAGTTGAACGTGTGGTTGTTGTTGGAGTGATTTCATTATTCTGATAATGCTCACTTCCGTTATTTACAATATTATGAAGATTTAAATGACTATTTCTTTGGAGGTTCGCGGTGGCTGGATCATTTACTGGCCAACTAATTAAAGTTGATTTGTGCTTATCGTCTTGTGAGAGAGAACTCTTATAATAATTTACATCATCATGCCCCAATATTTTCCCTGATTCATAGTTAGGATCCTTGTTGTGCTGTGTTGTGTCATGTGATGTTGAGTAGGAGTAAGTAATGAAGGATTTTGTTGTGTCAGGGTTTGGTGTTGTCGTAATGTCATTCAGTCTGTCATTCCAGAACTCGGCCCAGTCAGACCTGCAGTTTTCCAAAATTAGTACATATGTGTTAGCTTTGTTCTTTCTCTACAGTTTCTTTTGTAATGCATATTATTTGTTTGCTACTTTTGGGGCACCAGATCATATCAACCATGCAATAAGTATGTATACTGTTAAACAAAAGACAAGACCAAAAGCTACAAAATCTATGTGATATTTTTCCGTGTAATCGGAGAGTAATAATAAAGATAGATAGTTTTAAAAAGTTGATAATGGAAACAATATTTTAGTAAGTTAAATCACCCTGTTTTTGGGGGATGTATTTGATTGCAGGAACCTGTTTTCTCTTGGTCAAGCCTTCTGCTATCAAATTTAATTTACTGATGATTATTTGTAAATCCAGTAGTCCTCTGCCACATTCCTACACCACAGCACTCATGTCCCAGTAATGCAAAACAAAATGCAATGTTGTTTTTTTCATTCTCCTTGTGCCATTTTGTACATTATTAGATTATATTCTTCATTGTCACCTTGTCAATCATTAGCTGGCAAGTTTTAAAACTCATCATGCATAATTTTATCTTATATACAGTTCATGCTGCTCTATGATTTCTATGCAGTAATGTGGATAATTGCTCAGAACAACTTATTTTTTCTGTCAAATTCTATTGAGAATCAGTCATGCCTTACCTTTGCGTTGTGATGTTATAAGTATAATAGGGTCTTGGTTGGGTGGCAGATCCATCATCATCGATTCTTCTTAGAAAAGCAGGTGCATTTTGAGAATAGTCAGGAATTATGTTCTCATGCTCCACCACACATTTACCGTTCATA